AAGTCATAGCGGAAATATAAACATGCATGCAACAATACTGAGGCTTATATATAGGGGTAGGTTTAGCAATAATTGAACAGTTTCAGTCAGTAGATATATGTTACCGTTCAAAGAAGCAATTTGTCAATACCGGCATGGACTGAAACAGATTCGATGTTAGTTTTAATTATATAAATAAATAAATAGAAGCAAGAAGATGGCGCGACTAGGGCGCGAGAATCTGGAGAGCTGACAGGACATGAACATTTTAACTAACGATGTTGTAAACTGGCAGTTTCCTAGTAAACCTATAATATGAGTATTAATATTTATTTCTTAAACTTGTTTCATTCATTACTTTTTTCCTCTTCTTTTTTGTTCTTTGTCATAATCATTTTATTGCTACTGCTCTTTTTTCGTTTTACTCCTTTTTCTTTTCCTTCACAAACATGTTAATTTCTTACATCCTCTTGATCAGCTTCTTATTCATCGACTATTTCTTTTTTCTTCCCCTTCTACATGTTTTTCCTACTGTATTTTAATCTCAGATCACAGAACTTCAAACAATATTGACGTTTGTGCATGCATAAGAATATCATTTGAATATCAAGGATATATCCACGTGGCATTTTTCTTGATACCAAATCTTAAGCTATGTTAAGCAACAGCTGCTGCTCTCAACAGATATTCAGACCAAGATTCTTCCTCTTAGCTTCTATTGGGATGCAGAGATGCATGTGCCGTGACTGAAGGTGATCCGCCAAAATAAATATTGGTTTCTTCGGTTGTAGGAAAATCTCCTGCTAACGCAAAAAAATACTGTAACTTTAACGTTTAGCCCAAAAGTCTTTTCTTTCAAGCGCAATACGGCAACGGAAGACATAAGTTGGTGGAAAAATCTTAAATAGGCTTTTACAAACTGTGAAAAACTACTGTTGATGATTATAATCACATTAGGTCTAGCAGCCGAAATGTGTGCCGCTTAATCTTCATATCGTTCTATTTGGTGTAGACAAACTCAACCCAATGAAAAACAAAGAGGTTAGAGGTTACAAATCCGAGATAACGGTAGCCAAATGGCAAGGCTAATCGAATTGATAATTAATTTAAAGTGTCTCGAAATGGTTCATGCATGATATTCAGGTTTGATTTGACAACCAGTAGCACATGACACCAGCGAAAGAATAACAAAAGACACCAATCTATGTTATTTTTAATGAAGCATGCTTACTTTCGTGATTATGCTGCTGGTCGCTTCATGTTTACTTTGTCCTCCTTGTCGCTCTTGTCTCTAGGATTTACTTAAAATCGTCACTAATATCTGTTCACAATCCCTCCCCCCGCACATCATCTAACTGGTCAAGCGTCCATTCTTTACCTTCGTAAGTAAAGGAACGAACGCTCCAACATGCAGCGCGTAACTTAATCTCATAATGCTCAAAATAAAGAATGGCAGATTTATTGGCTCTAAGCTGTCCGGTTAGTTGTAAACTTGAACCTCCGTGAGCCGTGAACCAACTTACCCAATGATGATTGACCGGGGACCGACTGGAAAGAGCTTTGCATGGCAACGACACCTCGGCAGGTGGCACGCACAGGCCATCGACGATGATGCCGCAGTAGTCGCACTGGAAGCCGTTGAACACATCTGTGCCGCAAACGTTGCAGAAGTGACCCGGTTCGATGGTGTCCGATGCGACCCAGTGATGACCTGCGAAAAGAAGGTGTATCACGAGGAGAATAGGTAGTCCCATTATCAAAAGAACGTCGACGACTGTAGTCTTTTTAAATTTGTTTAATAAACACATAGCAGAGCCTCAACCATCTGACCACTTAAACTGTATGATCGATCATCATATTTCTATATCAGCAGCAATTCCACATATTGAATCACTTAAATTCATTTGAAAGCACCTACTGATTGTGCTTTATCCACTGCAACCATTGTGCCTTTATCCTGCATTTATAACTGACAATAGACAGTAACAGGTTAACAGTAAAGTAACATAAACAGTACAGTAGACAGTACATGTAGGGCTTTTGATGCTACTAATTCAGAAATATGAACAATACAGATAATCCATAAAAACGCAACAAATCTAGTTAATCGATGTTCCCTGATGACGAATTCTACTCGAACCGAAACGTAGAGATTTTGCTGAACAAAATTTATACACGGAGTAAATGGAATATTTGAACATTTTAGAGATAAAGAACGTCCCCTGAGTATACATCTACTGCAAAAAACATGTTTAATAGCAAAATTACAAGAAAATAACGAAAAGGCTTCTGCTGCAAGAGAATTTGAGAAAAAAGAGAAGGTATCTTTGGTCATTGCAACTATGTGAGAACCGTTAGAATTAGAATATTTTGATTTAGTAAATCCGTTGCCACAGTATTATTAGGCAAGGTGTAAACGCTGAGGAAAGGTCAAAATCTCATATTTTTCATCAGTGTTAGAGCATCGACTGAACCTGCGGAGTGAGCAGTTTATTTTATCTTTTCTGATTAAAAGCTTTTTATGACGAATGGGTGTATATACCATTGATAAATATCTCTACATCTATCCTGTGAACCACCTTGACTACAGCCAGATCGCCAGTTCAGCTTCTTCCAAATTGCGGTCATGAATAATTTTTCCTGGTAATATGAAAGGATAACCTTTTATTTGTTTCTTCAGTGGTGTTACCGGAGTTTATTGAAATTAAGGTTGATTAATCAACTTATCCATCTCTTCAAAGCATCACTTCTACGTGGGTTTCTCGGTTCGATGTGAGATCAGTTGACTATAGGCAGTTCGCTCGGATTTCAACACTTAGAAAAGTGGCAGCGATTTGTTTCACAAATATCTTGTAAAAGGAGCAACGGACCGTTAGTGGCTGAGTTTTAATTTACAATTATTATTTCTCTTTATCTGTTTTATTCCCATAATCCCCAGGGGTTGCGAACGTACGCGTTGTGCCAACGGTCATAGCGATCCGTAAAAAAAAACAACCGGATTTGAAAATGAACGAGTGCTTAAATGAAAGGTCTGATAAACCAAGGAATAGACAGATATCTCAGTGAATGAATGAATGAATGAAAATCGCACAAAAGCAACAACAAAAAGCAGCATAACATAAGGCAACAAACGGAAGAAAAGAAAATCATTCATGTCATTATTTACATCGTGAAAACTGGAGAAATGCAATGAAAGTAAGGATCTAAATATGCATAATGCCTTCATCTGTCCGAACAGACGATGCCAGTTGTTTCTGTTGCTGCCGCAAGAACAGACGAAAATGCACAAATCACTTCACTACAGCAAAACATCGACAATGCTGCATAAACATTATCCCCGAGACTGCTACGCTAACGATCCTCAATTGGTCGTCCATGGACGATCATGACCACACCGGGTCTTCCGTGAATTATAAAGTAACAAGATCTTCCTCTGATTTTTTTTCTAACATCAGAAAGCTTCTTTTCGCAAGAACATAGACATGGCCTCTCTAATTTCTCCGCACTGTTCGTCTTTCTTACGGATATTATAACAAACTACAGCAGTTACTTCGCATTGGCTACTGAGGCTCGAGTATCTAACGCAGTAAACATGCTGTTGCTCAAGGATCTGTCCTTTCGACAATACAGTTCACGCTGTACGCCAGCAAGTGCAGAGTAAACATGTGCATGATACGTTTGAAACATGAGGATATGAGGATATGACAATTCTGGCAACCATTCATGAACCGTTCGACCATCATCGATTCGTCATTCAAATTAAGAAAATCTGTGACTAGGCCACCAATACAGAATTAATGGTCAGCACCGAAAAATATGTTGAATGCACTTTCCAATCCAGAAGAGGGATAGTAATGCAACGAGACGTACCAGAATGTCACTCGTCAATCGTCAATCAATCAGTGAGTCAGTCAGTCAGGCAGTCACCTATACAGAAGCTGAAGTTTACTGAAGCTAATGAGGTGAATTATGACGGTGTAGTAATTAACCATGAACAGGTCAACGGTGTAGCCCTAAAATTCAAAAAAGCGCTTTTATTTCTAAGAAGAATGAAACTCTTAGGAGTGAACGAAATGCTGCTACAGCTTTTTGCGCGCTGTTGCGCAATGCCACTACTGTTATATGTTGCAGACATATACTTAACATTATCTCGAGATCCAAACTTTGAATAACTAACTTAGATGGAAATATATTTTTCGCTGGATAGGTGGCGACTGGTAGGTCCAGTCCTTAATAAAATCACTCTGGTGTGCTGCAAGGTGCCATATTATCTCCCCTCCTTTTCATCTTCCATACTGGCCATCTAAGTCTTATTGCTCCTTCATGCTTTATGAAATATGCAGTTGACGCAAAAATCACCACTGATATTACTAATATCTCTTCATTTCGCATTCACCAAAATAACCCATCCAGCTTTGTTAAAAGTTCGACTAATATTTTACTGGGATTTAATTCAGAAAAAAGTCAGATGTACCACATAGACAAAATGCAACGAATCCTCAGCTTTTATACCTACGCGACGTTTCTTTCAAAATTGATGATGCTGAAGGTGAATGTGTAAAATCTACGAAATACTGTAATGTCATTCTATCTCAAGATTTGCCTTGGTCAGGCATTTTCAGCTGATTACTGATACAACAGAGAATAGCAAAAGCATGCACTTTCTTATTCTGAGGAAAGCGGGAGAATGAAAATCCATTCTACACATTTTCATCAAATCATTTCATAAAACTGACCTTCGCGTTCTGCCCCGGGACCTAATAACAAGTCAGGGCTGGTTCGACCTTGAAGTTCTCGTCAAAGTGGTTGTACATGGCAGCTCCCTAATCTTGAAAGCTTGGACAACGGCACTTTCAAACAGCAGCCACCCTCTTCATCTGGATCTGTTGTCTTGTGTACCCTATATCCCGGTACAAGATTAAAAACTGTTAATATCTGTTGGAACTTAGAAAAAATTCAACTTTTATTAATTTGGCTCGCATTCTGAAGGATCGATCACTGCAAGTAGATAAAACAGCTACTTAATTATCGTTTAACAAGTACTTAAACATTTCGTTTTTGTTTTATTGTGCGTTTCTCGTGCTGAAAAATACAACCTAGTGCCGCATATCCAGGTAATCAAATAGAGTAAAACACTTTAACGGCTTCAAACACGACAAATACGGATGTATTAAACGGATATGTAGATTTCTCTCCTATCAGAGTGGATTATACCTCGGAGATCTGCTCAGACAAACAGCTTAGCATTGTTCTGAATGGGGCTAGGCTGTTTAACTTCGTGAGAAGATATTTGCCACCACAACCACCAAAAACATAAAGACGCTGCCTGCTGGATGAGGCATTTCGCAAATTTTCGCAACCGTTAGTCATACAGTGTCCAACTGAAACGGAAAAAGAACTTTAGCCACTGGAAAAACCTGCACAGTTTTTAGTACAGTATCATCGATGACGTGTCCCTACTTGTAACACATTGCGCCAGTTTCTTCTTCTGCCCTTCTGTCGTGTTGACTTTATTCTCTTGTGGAATTCTGGCGGTCAAGCTAAAAATTTACGTTTGTGTTGACTCTTGAACTTAAGAACATAAACAAGGCAATCGTCCTTATTATTTTCAAGTTTTTAGATCCAGAATCGCCCAAATGACGAAGATTACATTATAGTTACTCTAAGAACAACCATTGCAGAAGAACATTAGAAACGCCATAAACGTCCATCACCATTCGACGAGAATCAATACAAAGCATGCACTTAAGTAGGAACTCTTTTCCAATCTGCTCTCAGATTAACAGAGACCTGGCGATGGAAAAATGCGTTAATTCAAATAGAATGCAGAGGTGGTCTGTTTGATGAAAATATAATCTTTCTACTAAATATTTTATAGAAAATTTCTGACTCTAGCATCCCGCGCTACAAAGCCGTTTTCTTCTGAATATATCCAAGTTTTCACCTAACTCGTCAAAATGACCGAAACC